TTGCAACATACACAGGCCAGATAAGAAACCTGGGAAGGTTCTGGTTAAAGGCAAACTTCAAAGAAATTAAAAGTTTTAGGTACATGAAGGCAATTAAGTAACCATGGTTTTGTCCTTTAGTGATGCTGTATATTTCCTGTGTAATTATGATGAGGCATTTTCATAATCTCATTTGAGGTTATACCAATGCTCAAAGGGTTTAAATGTTTTCTTTTTTTTTTTCTCCTCTCACAGTGTCCCAGTCTGACAGAGCCTCATGGATCTGTGTGTACAAGGCTCACCAGGATGGAAGAGATATCTGTGCTTTGCAAATTCCAAAGGGAAGTTGTCTATGAGCTGCAGCAGGTGTGCAAGGAATGTGTAACTGTTGAGTGGGTATAAGTTTCTGTTTTGATGTGTGAGTGGTTTGAGTAGTTAACACTGCTTAGAAACTTATTTTTCGATAAAGCTTTCATTTGTGCTCCTGGCCAGAAGTTATTTTCCATACAAAAGAAGTCAAGACTGAGTCAGCAATTGTGCTGGGCAGCAAATGTGTCAGAAACTAAACTGTACACTAACTGTCTGGATCTTATAGACTTAGTTTACAGAAATTTTAAAATAAATGTTTGTATAATCTGATGAAGGCCAGCTGCAAAGGGAGTATTATTATTTACCTTGATATGATTATAAGGTGTTTTTAGTAAGAGGTACTTGTGTTCAGGCCTAGTTTTCTTACTACTCATCATTAAGACACAATTTATTGAAAGTGTTAGGAAATGAATGGTTCAAACACAATTTCATTAAGTAGAAGTCATATTTTAGTGCAAAAAAAAGAAGAGAGCAATTGGTATTATTTATTTATGAAAGCAAATGTGACCTCCATTCCACCTATTTATATCATACACTGGTATTTCAACTGTGTACTCTTAAAGTAGATCTGCTGTAAAAAGATGACCTGTGCCTTATTTATGAGAAGAACAGAGATAACAGTGGTCCAAATGCTGAGAATTTGATTTTCTGGTATTTTTATCAACCTTGCTAATGCATTTTGGCTGAAAATACTGAAGCTGACAATATGTGATTTTTGGATACGGTGTTAATGTCAGATATTCTGTAATTCAGCATTTGTAACTGTTGTTTTCACTTCTCGGAGTCTTTCACTCCACATGTGCTGCCTCAGACATTCCTGTACAAGTGCGTAATTCATCCATTTAATTTTCATGAACATTTGTTTCTTCTCATTAAATGGTAGTTTCCTGTATCAGAAATTTAATGTCCTCTCTAACTGTAGGGTGATCAAAATTAGAAAATAATCTATTTTTATATGCTAAGCAGATTTGGGATTTTAGAATTCTGGTAAAACACCTAACTTGATTTGTTTCATATTGCTTTTAAATTTTGACTTCAGGTTGTTTGCAAATTAGTACTTTGACATTTTCATCACATAATGACATACTAACCCTACCCCTTCAGCTGTGATGAAAAACGCTATTAAGATTGCAATGACAAGCTTTCACAGGCTAGGGAAAAAAACTGGCATCTTGTCTAAATTGTGCCTTCTTAACTTGGCCTTTACCTTAGTTGAAGGCATTACAATATTGCCTTTCATTATATGAAGAAAGTCTCTTTTCTCTTGCCTGATTTAATATCCAAAGTACATCTCATTGGATGTACTTTGAATTGTGTAACGAAGAAATGCTGGGCTTTGTTGTGGAAGTTGGAAAGTATTTAAAAAGCTGGATTAAATATGATAGGAAGAAAAAGGATGTCTATATTACAGCAGTTGAAGTTTGCCTTGAAGAAAAGCTTTCCTCTTTTCTCTGCTGCAGTATTTCTGGACAAGTTATCAAAATCAAACTTTTCACGGATGGTCACTGATTTCCTTGTGGCAAATGTGCTGAACACAGAGTCAAACACCAGCACACTGGGAGCTGGGCCTTGAGCATGAAAACATGATTTCACAGGCATGAGGTCCACAGCAAGCATGTACATTTGGCCTCAGTCTTTTAGGCTGTGTTTCAAGATGCTCCTCATCACTCAGGGTATTTAAAGTAGGCTGTATTATGACTTTGAAGGATAATAATAAAATAGTGAATAGATGTTGTGTCTGAATATGAGGGGGGAAAAAAAGTTGTTCATTATGAGTAGAATCCTCCTAAACAGGGGTGTGCAGATGGTCTACAAACAAGCAAAAAGTTCAAACACATTGAAAAAAAAAGTAAGGAAGCATACTAACAGCTACATAATCATACTGAGAATATCTAAAATGGGAGTTCCCAGACTATGGTATGTTGGATACTAGTGGTATGAAAACTATTTAAAAGTGATGTTCAAATAAAATATGAACATCTAAGCAGAAAAAAAAGATTCCTCCTGCATGTAAGTTCCTCTGATCACGTTTCTGTAGGAAACTGGGGCATAGATTTGTTTTACATACCACATTTCCACCACTGTCACTAATGCAGTAAAATGAAATTCTCTTTCAAAAACAATCTAATATGGTTAGTCTAGGCTTAAATGATGTCCTGTTAAGCACCAGATCACATCAGCTCAAGCAAATCTCTATGTTATACACTCATTCCCCCATTTCCCTCCTCCAGCTCTGCTTTGTCATAGAAGATGATGTCAACTGGCATTGTGTCCTTCTAAGAATATTGTAAGGTGCACTTCACAGACTTCTATCAAGTGAGCTAATGGAGAGAAAACAGGAGTAACTGATTGTCTCGTGTAATTTTGAAGTAATTTGCTGACAGCTAAGGAATTGAGTATTACATTCCATCCCAGGCATTTTAGTACATGAACTTGTAGGCAAAGAGTTTTTGCCTGCTATTCCTTAAACACATCCCAGATTTTCTTATTCTTAGTTTTTAATTTCATCTGATATTAATTGCCTGGCATTCACAGTTTGTATTCTTCAAACATCTCAGAGCTCCTGCCTCCTCGATCAGCAAGTCTGGTCTCCTTTTTCTACCCCAGTTACCACCTTCCTTTACTCCATCCTGTCTTCCTATGTGGCCAAGGGCCCAAGTCATTATCCAGGTCTCATGTTTTGTTCAGATACTCGGGCTGCTCATGACTTTATCGCAGCAGACTCTTTAGAGCTTTATCACTCAAATCCACCTTTTCAGTGAGCAAATGGAATCACTGAATCATAGAATCATATTGAAAGGGACCTTTAAAGGTCATCCAGTCCAACACCCCTGCAAGGAACAGGAACATGCATGGCTAGATCAGGTTGCCAAGGACCTGATCCAGCCTTGCCTTGAAAGTCTCCAAGGAAAGGGCATCCTCCACTTCTCTGGGTAACCTGTTCCAGTGCCTCATCTACCCCCCTGTAAAAGACTTTTTCCTTATATCCAACCTAAATCTGCCTTCCCTGAGCTTGAATCCACTTCCCCTTTTTCTGTCACCGCAGCCCCTGGTAAAGAGTCTGTCCTCTTCTTTCCTGAAGCTCCCCTTTTACATATTGAAAGGCCTCTATCAGGTCACCTCAGAGCTTTCTCTTCTCCAGGCTCAACAGCTGCAGCTCTCTCAGCCTGTCCTCATAGGAGAGGTATTCCATCACTTGGATCATTTTGCGGCCCTCCTCTGGACATGCTCCAATAGGACTATGTTTCTCCTGTACTGAGGACTCCCATCTGCGCTCAGTGCTCCAGGTGAGGCCCCACCAGAATGGAGTGGAGGGGCAGGATCACTTTCCTCAACATGCTGGCCACAATATTTCAAAGCAGGTTTTTCTGAAAGTTTGATAAGTATGGTAAAATGTTTAGCAATTGAAAATAAAATATACATCCATAAAGTCATAAGTACTCTTAATCAAATAGTGAACATGCACAGAGTGTAGGATAAATCCTTTCAACAGTTATTTCAAGCAGCCTTAAGTGTAAAACTAATTTTCTATACTTTAAATATCAAGCTTAATAAAATAATTCTATTACAATAAGGTTACTAGATAGATATTTACATTTAATAAACGTATTTGAATACTTAGTATCATCATATACTCTATAAATATGTAAGCACTTATGTCAATACATATGATAATGTAAACTGAAAGCATAGGTACAAGCTTAAGCAATTTTGCGTAGGTAACATTAACTAAAGAGTGAAAATTTCTTAAATTGAATATGCCCAAATAATGGGTAAACCAGAAATTAGTCATGCTGTCATTAACTAATCAATTAAAATGTTGCTGTACATTCAAGAACCAGGCTTGAACTTAAAAACATATTAAAAATAATGCATTTCTATTTCACTTGATATAGTTATTCATCTGGAAATTTATTCAAACAGGAGCAAGTATACATTTAATTGATAAAGATATATAAATGTACAGTGATCTTTGGATCAATACGCCAGAATTAATAGTAGAAAGTAAGTTCTAACCAATGTATACAACTAAATGAATAGAAGTATAACTCATTTAGTATTTCCAATAGTGTAGTAAACAACAAGTAGCATTTTAATGACTTCCACAGCTGACAAAGGAAAAATGTATTAATTCTTCTCATTTTACATGCCACAGCTGCTCCTAAAGTAATGCTTCCTATTTTATTATGCTGGCCCACGATGTCAGAGGTGACTGTTGATGGTATGGCAGTAGAGTCTGAACCTTCCCAACAATATTCCTTTACATGTTGTTGTGTGATAGATGGCAGAAAAAGGGCAGTCTGGCAGAATGGCATCTGATGTGGAAGTGTATATGGAGCAAAGATGTGTCATTGAATTCTTCCATGCAGAAAAAATTGCATCCCTTGACAAGCATTGATGCTTTCTCAATATTTATGGACACCAAACAATGAGTGTGAGAACAGTGAGGCTGTGGTTGATGCTTTTAATCAGTGACAACGATGTGAAAGACAAACCATAATCCGGACGGCCATGCATATTTTTATGAGTGTAGCATGCAGACTCTGTTCATCGATGGCAAAAGTGCATAGACAGTGGTGATGACTATGCTGAAAAACAGTGTTTTGTAGCTGAGATTTTGCTCTATCAAATAGTGTTGTTGTGCTCTTTCTATATGTTGTGATTTCCATAGAAAAAAATAGGAGGCATTACCTTCAGAGCAATCTACATAATATAAATATAATTGTATAAATGGGTGTACATGTTTGAGCATATAGTTATGCATTCACAAATATACATATTAATTTAAAAATTGTGCTGTAGTGTATTACAATGGCAATGATTAATAAGGGATAATTTTAAAATAATTTTATTGGGCAATCAGTGCTAATAGAGAATCACAGAATCACAGAATGGTTAAGGCTGGAAGAGACCTCTGGAGGCCATCTGATCCAACCCCCCTGCTCAAGCAGGGTCACCTAGAGCAGACTGCCCAGTGAAATCCAGTCATATTTCATAATCAATGCACTGCTATTGTTCAGTAGAATTATTTTTTAAAAAATTCATTGTAGTCAGTTAAAAACTAATACTCTTAGTAACAATCATTGGCAATCACTGGCTTACATGAGTAAGAGAGTTCTTTTGCTGTCTTTAAACACAACATAAACATTAAAAATTGTAAAATATATACTAATATATTGTATGTTGATAGGGTCCCAAGCAGAGATGCCTGTGAAGCCACTGCACTTCAAGTACTATCTAGTACTTACAGATATGTCTGAATGCTTAACTTCATTGCTGCTTCTGAGGAGAGAAAAACAAGGAATTAGGCAATGTCTGCTGAATATTTAGGAAAATATTCTGATGCATAGCTGAAGTAGCAGGAAATCTGTAAAACCAGTCCATAGAAATTCTCTGTGGTTTATTAGGCTGTAGCAGAGGTAAAAACTTCCCTGTGATTAAATCGCTGTTTGCATTCCACTTTTGGTATTCATGCATAAACTGCAGTCTGTCAGCATGGAGCATTTTCCACAGAGGATCTTGAAAATAATGTGTTTGGTAAAATACACCTGGTGCTGGGTAGGAGAGATAGTGTCCCCATGGCATGAAATAATTCATAGCAAGGGAACTCTCTAACTCCTTCTGACGTCCTCGCTTTCGTGCCCGTCGGTGTTGCCTGAAGTCCCCCTGAACAAAGTCATTTAAGTTTGATGGGTGGATACTCCAGTAGTTCCCCTTGCCATCCTCACATCTTCCCACCTTGATGAAACAGTCATTTAGTGAAAGGTTGTGCCGCACACTGTTTCTCCAGCCTCGACCTTTGTTCCGGTAGAAAGGAAAATTGTCTTCAATATATTTGTAGATAGCAGCTAAATTCAGTTTATTTGCAGGGGAAGAAAGAATTGCCTTTGCAATTAAGGCTATGTAAGATAGGGGTGGTTTTTCCAGAAATTTTCCTTCATCCACAGGTACAGAAAGACCACTTTTGGTGCTTGTATGTGAGCTGGGAATCTGGGCTGGAATCCCGTGAACCAGATTTCCATCTTCTCCTGCTATAGTAAGGATGGCTGGACTTCCTTCATTGTTTTCAGAATAGTCTTCAGTCATTATAGCAGCATGAAGTCTAGCATTTATTTTAAGTGTCCTGATATTTTACTGTAAGTATTCAGTTGAATAATTGGTTCATTGAATGTAAGCAGCAGGAGAAAAGGAAGCAGGACTTTAAATATGCTGCTATCGTGCACATAGATTCCTATTTTATACTCTGTTAAGTCAACATTCTTAACAATGAAAACTGAACTGCCAATGTTTACAAAAGTCAAGGAGAGAATCGTAGTTGAATGAAAAAAATATAAAATAATTATACTATGTTAAGTATGAAGATAAACAGACCGTGACGTTAGCCTTTTACTTCATTATAATCTGAGAAAACACCCTTCAGTGTTCCCCATTGAAATGTAATGATTAATGAAAAAATGACTGCGGCTTGATAGCGTTGTGAAAGGATTAGACCCTTCACTGATAGGCAGAACAAATTGAAATCAACATGTTGGTTCCTGTGTTCTACACCTAGTCAAGCATGTTGTATTTAGTACAACAAACATTTGTTTTACGCTCTAAAAGAAAGTACTGTATGACACTTGCTATCAAATTTGGTAGCTGCAGGATACCTACTCTTGATGAAACTGAATTAAATTAAATTAAAGCACAAAAAAAACATGTAACTCTCCAGTCCCAGTTGTGCAACTTGTTTTCAAGCTGAGTATGCATGTGATCCGTCTTTCTGACCCAAGAAACCACTTGAGGGAGCAAGTAGCACTCAAAGTGAGTGAGTGCTGTGCACTGGGACCCCAGTGCATGAACTACCACTTGAACTTTGACACAGCCCTCAGAGTCCTGAGTTCTGATGCTAGTAAGGACAAGACAATCATCTCATGTAATTAGTCAAGAAAACTGATTAAGTATGCTTAAATATCTTCTAAAGTAAAACAAAACAAAGTGGAAGAAGCTTTGAAAGAAAACCTTGCTTCTCAGAATTATTATTCTCTTTGGTTATTGGATTGTCTTCTTTTGGGTCACTTCTGATGTTCCAAATGCATATTCCCAAATGAGATCATCATTTCAAGGCATTAATAACAGCTTCAAGGGATTCAATCTTACAAGGCTGAAGTTGATATTGTTCATGCTTTGCTGGCTTCCAAAAATAACTCTTGGTGGTTTCTTTCAAGTGTGAATTCTAGCAAAGAACAGAGACAGAGGGCCTAGACTACCCAGTAAACTGATCTCTTTCTCTTTGAGCTTGGAATTTACATCTTAGTTGATCACCTTGATTGGACACTTGCAACCATTTCTCAGACTCTAAAATCCTCTAGTTTCTGGTTCAGTTGTTAGCCATTATCTTTTTAGATCAGGAAACAAGACTCATAATGTAATGCCATCGTCCATACTGTTCCTAGTTATTACTTCTTTTGAAGACATTCATTTGACCTGTCCTATCCCTACTAGAAAATTCCTTCCTGGCACATCCACAAGTTGCAACCATCTTTCCATCATACTGGTGGCTTTTCACAGCCTTCTGTTGACTTATTTATCAGTTTTGTTCTCCTTCTCTCTTACTTTTAGCAAAAGAATTGTGATACGATGGCAGAAACTGTTGAGATTATCTCCGAAGAGTGTGACCTGGCACTTTAGATTGTCTATTACAGATCACCATGTTTCTGTTACTGCATCCAAAAGTCAGCCAGGTATGAATGGGTTTCTACAATAATAACATCAAAAGTTTGATTTCACCGGATTCAGTGCAGGTTATATGGTTATTTCTGGTGAGATATGTGTTTTTATGGAACAACTGCAGACTGGAGAACAAATGCCTCACTTTGACAGGGACTATATATTCCTTCCTTTGTTTCCAACAAAGAAGCACAGAAACAAGCACATGTTCTGCTACTTTAGTACCCACTTTTTAACTGTAGAGAATTTTAGACAGGACTTTGAGTATCTGCAAGTACCTAAATTAAATAAAGAATAAGGAAAAGCCATCTTATTGAGGTTTTCAATCTTAAGGGCAGGCTTTCAGAAACTGAAGAAACTGAGGTTATCAAAGGGAGCCAAACTGAAGAGATCAGGAATTTAAGCACAGTAAAGACTCAAAAATCAAAAGCACAGAAGTTGAACTCAAATCCTAAGCAAGAAGAAATGTGTAGAAAAGGGCTCCATACCTGAGCAGATGAATAATCCTGTCAGCAAATGATACAAGGAAAGAAAGATGTTAAGGAGAATGAAAGATAAAAAGATGAACAAAAGAGAAATATTCTGAGGAGCTAAAACCCCTGATCTCCAATGTAAAGATTTTCAGGCATGCCCACAAAGAAAATATACACCCCATATTTCTGAGCATCTTGTTTGTTTCTCCTTGCTCCATGTTATTTCTGGAAATGATTTTGTTTTCCTTTGAGTCCAATATTTAGAAATGAAAGAGTGAAAAACTCCCCAAGTTTCTTGTACAAAATGTAAGGCAAATTCCCTGTTTTATGCTTATTCTTTGTGGGAGTTTTCTTGTCACTGCCTGAAAAGTCTGCAAACCTTTGACATGAAAGTGGTAACTACTCTCACTTAGTCAATGTCCAATTTTATCTGAAAAGAAGAAATAGATGCAGAGAAAGTATACTGTCTATTCTTCCTATAGAGATTTTCTCTCTCCTTGGGAAGCAGATTCTTCTTCAAAAAAAGCTTATATAACTTATTAAAGGAGCATTTTTTAACTATATTTTTATATCATTGGTAAAATATTGGTTTCTCGGAATCCTGGGATTTCCCACAAGAAAGCATCAAAAAATAAAAGGATAGATTTATCAACTGGATGTGTGAAACTCTTTTCATTTTGATTTATAATAAATTAAATGTACTTGAAGAGATGAACCTGGAAACTGGAGTATCTGGGAATTCTGGTATAGTAGTCTATTCTGAATTTTCACTGTGTTGAGAATGTCTTGATTATCTTTTCCTCTGCCACTGTTTTCCTCTCTATCATCAGTTAAGATTTAAAGAGAGTTAAAGTGTTTTGTCAGTTGCTTAGCTGACAAAATCCCCTTAGGATAATACTAATGTTCATATTTAAAAAATATATTTACAAAAACTGCAATTTTTCTACTTCTCTCTGCAAAAAAAAAAAAGAAAGCACAAATGCTGAAGAGTGAGCTGGCTTCCACTTTGGATCACATATTAACAAAGTAAATTACCAGTTGTACATAGGACAAAGTATTTTAAAAAGTACTTGAGTCATATAATCTGTAACAAAGATCAGAAAACAACCGAGGCAGCTTTTCTCCTCACTCAGCCTTAATTATTGATATTTAGCTTCACTCGTGAAATTTCGACAAAACAACTTGCTTAAGTTAAATGCTGTTCTTACTCCCATAGCACTATACATTTTGAGAATGAATTGCTGTTTCAAAATCTGTCTCAATATTTGCCAGCAGTGTTTTTGTTTGTTTGTTTGTTTGTTTGTTTTTGTGGGGTTTTCTTTTTCTTTTTTTTCCTAAAGGATTTAACCTTATTTCTTCTGCCTCTTGTTCAGCATTTTTGACCATTCAGCAGTCAAATGGAATAGAGTTTTCTGCAAGGGAAAACTATTTTTATGCTTTATCCTAATAGATTTATTAAATAGCAGTGAAGTAAGTAATACATCTCATACTCTCAGCTGAAGAAATGCAGTTTTCTGGGGCATTAGGGAATGCCCCAGCCAAGTGGAACCAGATTTTATACTACTCTTTAGTCTGTGCTTAAGATGTAGTTGTTTTTCAATTGACACAGAAAGGTATATTACATTCCAGATAGGGCTAAGAAAGATCATCTGGCCAGTGGTAACGATAAATATGCCAAAAACATAGGCAGGTGCAAGCTGTTTTTAATTAAAGTTCTATTTGGCTATTGCTTTTGGTGTTCTGCTGTGTGTTTGATTATGTCTAAGCCTGCTGTCTCCATAACATCCTCCTCTGTAATGTTTACTATGCTGTTCACTAAAGAAGCAACCCACAGATGCCATCTTATTTTCTGCACATTCTTACTGTATTCTACCTCCTATTTCCATTGCTAATTAAGCAGCATTCAAGAACATCTGTAAAACACGTGCTTTGATTCAACATTTGAATTTAGTATGTGCAAAAAAGGTAAGGAAGATGAGGATTCAGAAAGTAATTGATTAAGGAAATTACCCCTTAAAGAAATTCTTAAATTACCTATTGCTGATAGAATCCAAAAGGAAATTCTTATTCTGTCATCTGACTTAGGTATTTTGGACACCACATAGCAAGGTGCAGAGAAAAAGCAAGATATTTTCATTTATTTTTTGTACTGCATTTTTCATAGCAATAATTTTACAGTGTTAATGCAATTCTTACTTGCACAATAATACTTGCTTTGGTGTACCTTTCTATATCCATCTGGTTAAATACTTACTGAGACCCTCGTGAAAAGTCTAACATGGAATAAACTTTCCAGGCAAGCTCTAGGTCAGGTGGAGGAACAGTTTTAGTCTCTACCCCACTGAAGGTTAGGCTTGTTGATTGAAAATCACGTTCCAACGAAATGTGATTTTCCTCTGTTCTCAGCTGTTTCTTGACGTCCATCTTTGTAACCAATGACATTTCTTTCTTGTACAAATATCCTTCTTTTGTTTTTTATTTCTTATTCAATGTTTTTTTTCCATTTTTTTTTTTTTTTAAACTGACCAGCGTACATGCTGTTTCTCTCACTAAATAATGGAACAAGAGTGAAAATTTGGTACTCAGTGATACCCCTTAGGCTAAACTGATAAATAACCCTTTGTTTCCCAGTTCCCATGTTCCTTTTCTTTCAGGTTCCTTTACTTTCATGGCATGACAGTTACGTATGCACAGGCTTGTCTGAGCTGATTAAAGTCACTGTTATTTCTTGTTTGTAGAAGTGTCCATGAAACAGAAATAAAAGTAACCATTAGGGTAATAATATCATAAATAAGTTCTCCTTGATTGTGTAATTGCTACTGTAGTATTTTCTTAGAGAAACAGAACTGCCATTAAAGCAAGAAGCCTCATTTCCCAAAGAGCACTTAATTTGCAAGATGCTAAACCAAAATGTGCATACAGCAGGTCCGCTGTGGCTGTGTGTCATTCCCTTCCTAGGCCCTCAAGAATACATGGCTGGATAACATTACTGTCTTTAAACAAGAAATTTGCACTGTTAGCCCTTGCTGAAAAATTCAGCATTGTAAAGTACAGTTTTAAAACCATTTAAATCCCAAAGGCTGTGCTAGGAGTTCT